GGGGGGGGGGGGGGGGGGGGGGGGGGGGGCTCTGGACTATGCTATGACTTTCCCTTAAAAATTCAATGTTTTCACCGCCTATATGTAAATGTATAGCGTCTGTTTATGTTGCTTTGCTGTGGTAGTTTTTTTTTTTATGCCTCAAATTGTGCCCTGTCTAGGACACGGTGTGAGAGATCTTTTTTTTAATACCGTCTCTCCTCCTGTTTTCTTTCCTTTTCTTATCTAAGCAAAATATTATTCTGAATAAGAATAAGAAGGCCGCTCTAATTATTTTAGCCGCAGCTTCGTGCCCTCCGCCCATCTTCGTACATATTTGCGTTGTATCTCTGTGCAATGCCAATAAAGTTTATTCTGATTCTGATAAGCTTCTGCAATGTCACAAGATCTATTTCCATCCAGTGTTGCATTAATTTTTCACCAAGATCTTGCATTGATGACTAGGCACGAGGCATGATGGGTGCATCACCTCACCTGCCTCTCTTCTTACCCTAATGCACCCACCTCTCTGGAACAGAGTAAATCTGGACTCATCAGACCACATGACATTCTTCCATTGCTCTACAGTCCAATCTTTATGCTCTCTAGCAAATTGAAGCCTTTTTTCCAGTTAGCCTCACTGATCAGTGGTTTTCTTAAGGCTACACAGCTGTTCAGTCCCATTCCCTTGAGGTCCCTTCACATTGTTTGTGTGCAAATGCTCTTACTTTCACTATTAAACATAGCCCTGAGTGCTACTTTTGTTTTTCTTCTATGTGATTTCACCAAACGTTTAAGTGATCGCCGATCACGATCATTCAGGATTTTTTCCCGGCCACATTTCTTCCTCTAAGATGATGTGTCCCTACTATCCTTCCAGTTTTTAATAATGCGTTGGACAGTTCTTAACCCAATTTTAATAGTTTCTACAATCTCCTTGGATGTTTTCTCTGCTTGATGCCAATGATTTGACCCTTCTCAAACAGACTGAAATCTTTTCCACGACCACACAATGTGTCTTTCCACATGGTTGTTTAAGAAATGAGAAGCAACTCATTGCACCAGTTGGGGTTAAATAACTTGTTGCTAGTTCAACGATAATCACCCATGCAGTAATTATCCAATAGGAGGCTTGTACCTATTTACTTAGTTAAATCCAGGTGGCGACTTTTTCTGGGGCCAGGCAGTGTAGTATATCCTATAATTATTAGTTTTGTTAAAATTCATCCAGTGTTTCACGAGATATTTTGCAACAGACAAGCAAACTGAAGAAAAACATTAATCCACCTTTGTCATTTAGCAGCAGACAATATCCATACCACAGTAAAAATATTACTGACTTTAAATATGATTTCTAAACAACCAGGTATGATGAAAGGACAATTGGCTGCAGGTGGCAGTGCTTGGAGCTTTTTAAAAGTGGCACAAGGAAAGAGAATCATGACGAAGACAAACATACCCTCTATGCTCATGGCTCAATGTTAAAAGCACGTGGTTCGAACATGTAATTTATTATTATGATTTTTTTTAAAACTTTTATTTAACCAGGAAAGTCGCATTGGGATTAAAAACCTGTTTTTCAGGGGTAACCTGGCCACGATACGCAGCAGCAAATACAAAATGGAGTTAGCACATCACAGTTAAGACAACAATATTAAAACTTTAAATTGAGAAATATAACAAAACAATTAAAAACAACAGGTGCACGTTATGGAGTTAGCCTCAAGTCCTTTCAATTTTGATATGAAAGCCCTCAACAAAATCAACTCTGCTTCTTCCAGTCTTTCCGCAGAGTACAAACACCCCCTGTACAAAATACTGAAAACATTAATGCTAATAGTATTTTAATAATAAAAACATATCTGTGAACTCGGTGCATCACAATTTGCTGAGATTGGAGCTGCAAGAAGATTTAGATCTTTGTCCACCAGCAAAAGGTGAGAGTCAAACATTTTCGGCTACTTCGTGTGGCATTCCCAGTGCCGCTTTTTATCAAGGTATGCAGACAAATGATGGACTGTACTTACACAGCGTCTTTCCATCTAATCAAGATACAAGTACTCAAAGCACTTTACAACACAATCTGTGTCCTCATTTACCTCCACACACACGTTCATACAGCACTCTACATCTCTACAAAGCTCATCTGAATCTGTAGAGAATAATCAGTGTTTTATCATATTACACTGATGGGACACACATCAGAGGCAATGAAGGGTGTCTTGCCCAGGGACACATGAACATGTGACTGATGATGGAATCGAACCCCCAACTCTCCCATTGGAGGACGACCGCTCTAACCACTCAGCCACAGATAAAGACTTCTCTATTTGAATTAAACTTGTTTTGCAGCAGGGAAACATGAAAGCACGCAGGGAGAGGACAGACTCTTGAAGCTAATGGAACTCTTAGGATTTTGGGGGGTAACGTTTTTGAATGTTTCATTGTGCACAAAGCTAGAGGTTGTTCCATACATCAGCCTCATACCTTCTGTTTATTTGGATCAAGGCTTAGAACTAGCCATACAAAAATGGGTTTAAAATCTGACATGGTAATTAATGTTTAAATCAGTATGTTTAACTGAAACACAAGTGCGCACTATTCATTTAATAGAGTAGCTCTCAAAGAGCTGTATAATGAAAATATATTGTTTTGTACCCAATCTAGGCAGCATTTGTGACAGAAAAAGAGAGAAATGTGCAGATGCACACCACAATTCATGTAGCTATACTTTTCCACTTACTTCAGTAAAACAGCGCAGCCAGCCACTGTTCCGAAGAAAGAAATTGGTAAAATATATTTACTCATCGCTCCGGAATAATGCTAACAACTAAACACAATAATACAAACTGTTTAACGTGTTTACATCTGCTAACCGGTGAAGAGCAAGGTTACGTGCGCGCACTATTAGCGTCATCAGCTAGAGCCAAAAACAGCGGCCTTGTGGGAAATGTAGTGTAGATTTTATTTAGGGATATGGAAAGCTTCTACTGACTATGGAGACAAAATGACATTGTGCCACGTCTTGAGAATAGTCAGCTAAAAGATGCGACTGAAATTGCTTCATAAATATTTAAGGATAATGAATGGATGGATGACTAATTAAAAAGAAATGCAATGCAATAGTCAACCAGAATTTAAGGTTGATAGTGTGTGCAGCCATCTTGGTAGGTGCTACATAGCTTCCTTGGGTACTGTTTGTGTACAGTAGAAGCAGATCACTGGGGGTGGGGTGGGGGTGTGTGAAATAACTCAAATGTTTTTCAATGGTTATTATTATTAATATCATTACAACAACAACACCTTTAATCTCTCACTCAATATTTGGTAGTTCTTGAGCTCCTCTAGTTCCTTCTTCTTGATGTTACAGCTGTTTGGGATCTGTACATCTGTCACTACTGCCTTCTTCTAGTTTGTCGACCAACACAATGTCTGGTTGGGTAGTAATTTCCTGTTATCTGTCTGAATTTGGAAGCTCCACAATGCCTTAGCCCTGTCACCACCACTGCCTCAAGTGACAGTTCCTACCTTCACTGTAGAACCTCCAAGGCCATACTCAGCTCAGATGCTCCTATACATATTTCCAGACTCCTGGTAATGGAGCTCCATTTTCTTTGTTTTTACGCATGTATGCATGCATTTATATGTATACACCAGTACTTTTTTGCCTTGTTTATCTGGATTGTATTAATATTATTAATACCCAGAGTTCTGACTGAGACTCAAGACACTAACACGTAAAAGTAAGTGAAATTTATTTACATAAAGTGACTGTACAGGATCACTGAAGCCAGCTGCGGGAAAAGGTACAAGCTGATTATGCTAAAACAGGCTGGCAAGTATGGTTAGTAATACACAGAAAAGATCTGTTGTGTGGCTTACTTGATCTTTTTTCTTTTAGGCTTAGAGTTGGTTCCAGGAGGCTCCAGAAGGGCAAAGCAGACCAAGGAGATCAGGTAAGTGGAGAGTTGAATGAGAGAATGGCAGGACAAACCTTAAGGCAGGATGACTGACAACTGTTGTACTTGTATCCCTTGTAGGTGATCGTACAGAGGGATGTCCAAGGGAACTTCAGACGCAGGGAGAGCACGAGGTAGAACCAGGAAACGAGGAGACTGGCAACAGGAGCTACGAGGAGTACAAGGAGAGCAAAGATTAAGTCAGAATAACAAAAGTTCTAAGTTTACAGTAGAGTAGAGACAGCTGCGGACAATCGGCTCTGCCGTGGCGTGCCACACAGGAACGGAAAACAAAAGCTAGAATTCCTCTACATTGTCGGTGTTTGTCCTGTTAGTCAAATATGTCTTGTCTTGTGTTCCCACTCATGGTCTGCACCTTCATGTGGTGAGTGGGCATTCAACAAAAGACAGACCACCTGTTTTGAAGATGTTGTTTTTAGTTGAAAGTAGTCCACATGAGTTTAATTTATACATTAAATGTGTTTAAAGTTTAACATCGCAGGCCTAGTTACATAAAGGCACCTCCTTGTTGAGTTAAAAGCACAAAACAGGATAAAATAAGACAACACATATTTAAAAGTAGGGGCTACCTACTTGTAATCCTGAGGTTGCAGGTTCAAGTCCAGGTTGAATCAGGAAGGGCATCCAGTGTAAAACAGTTGCCAGATATTTCATGCAAGTTCACTCACTGAAGAAGGGAGCGCCCCCCCCCCCCCCCCCCAAAAAAAATGAATAAATGTTAAAAAGTAATTTGAAATAAGTTTTATCCACATTAAAAATATTTCAAAAGGATGCTTGATTATATAATGTGTCAAAATGTGTTTATTTCTAATGTATAATCTAATGTATACAGCATAAAATAAAATTCTGAAGAAAAGTTGACTTGTAGCAAGCTGCACTTTTTTCCCCAACACTCTTGTCTTATTTAAAATAAAGACGATCTAATGAAATCAGGTTTGCAGGCTCTATTCCACACACTGGAGCCGACACCTGCCTTTCGTCTGTTAACGCCTCTGCCTCTCCAGATCTTCTAGTCACACAAGCACTGAGGTGTTAAGCCAGGATGCATTTTGTCATCTTTTGCACTGCTGTCTTTAACGAACACAACCTCTGCACTTAATATGTTAAAGCACATAACAGCCCTAAAAATCCACTTCAGACAATAAGGATTTTACTTCAGCCTTCAGTTCTGCAGGGGCACAAAAAGAAGAGGGAGCTAAGCTGCAAGGTGGGGCTCTCTGTTCACCCGTCAGTCTACATTCCCACCTTCACCTATGGTCACAAACTCAGGGTAGTGACTGAAAGAACAAGATCACAAATAGGATAGCTGGAATTGGAAGAGGTGGCTGTGAAGAGAGATACAGCTCCCTGCTTAAGCTGCTGCCCCCACAGCACCACCCGACACATTGACTTGATGGATGGTCACGTTACATAAAGACAAACTCGCCTTAACTCACTAAAGATGTTAAAGTATAAACTAACTTCTTCTGGACTTGTGTAGAAGTTTCTAGTTTACTTCAAATAAAGATTTTTTTTTAACATACTGTACTTGGACAAAAAAAAGATTAGTCACAATTTATTTTATTTACATTAAGTTAAAAGTTTTGTAATGTTTTAAGCTTCAGAGATTATGAGTTTTCTGAAATTTTGTGGCACAGTGTAACCAAAAGTCATTAGTGTCATGATTGGAAGGTTAGATCCAAATGAGAACCAGACTGAGTGAAAGCAGACTCAACTCCAAAATGACTTGCAGTGATTTATTTACAGTGAATCAATATGAGCATTCTTATTTACAATAAGGGAGCCTGGAACACTCGAGGAGGGAGGAAACAGGGTGAGTCCAGGAATGTAGAAAGATGTTTGCATATTCAGATGGGCGAGCTCTTTCTGGGTAATGGAAACCTTGATGCGTAGATAAGAAGGTTAATGGTTCCAGGCTTCTGGTGGTGCAACAGCAACTGAACAGCTGAGGGTAAGCAAGGATTCTTTGACGGCACGAGGAGTTTCACGAGGGATCCAGAGCACAAGGAGAAAAGAAAGTCAAGTCAAAGTTTCGACTTATTCAAAATAAGTCTGTCTACAAGCAACTACTGACAGTTGTGCAATGCTCCAGAAAAGAAGGAGGCTCTCCTTCAGCCCTTTATACCCCTGGAGCTCGTTAGGGAGATCTTCCCCAGTTGCTCATGGGCACTGCCCAGGAACCAGGAAGTTGTGGATAAAAGCTGAAACCTTGTAAGAGTGTAACTCATTCACAAGTAAGCTTAAAGTCCAACAAGAGTCTGTTAACAATAAAAGTTTAAAAAGATAAAATAAATTTCTCTACATATGTATAGTGACGCATATGCTAGAGAAGGTGAGCCTGCTATTGCAGATTTGAATTCCTAGACAGTTACAACAAAATTTGGGTGGGAAATGTGAAACACCCCCACACAGATATTACATTTGGAACAAAAAATACATCTTGTATAAAAAACAAAACGTAAAAAAGGTGAAACATCCACATCTGCCTCCACCCTTATTTACTCCTCTGTGGGTCTTGAGCGTTAACCTCCCTAGCTGCTCCACGGCCACATTATATGGCAGCCGTCTGCTCCAGACATGTTAATTCCCTTATCGTTCATCACGTAAACTTTTATTAGGATTTTTTTTTTTGGACACATTCACAGCTGCACATGGGATCCAGACAGTTTGATTTCACGTCCAGAAGAACCCAGAGTGAACTGGATGTTTAGTCCTGTATGCAGTTTCATAGCACAGAAAAATGTATCTCTAATCTTGAAACACAATCTCTCTCTATCATGACGTTGTGGTTTTAGTGCAGGTAGGACACAAAGTAACAGAACACGAGTATAAATTTGGAAATGCAAAATAAATAAATAAAATAAGGCCACCTTTTTGCAAGAAAACTTGGTGACACACAAAAGTAACAAACTAGGACAAGAATCGGGAGTCTGAGAAAGTGAGCAGAGGAGAAGTGAAGCAGACCTGCACAGAGAAAGCATGTGTGTCCATATGAGTTTGACCCTTCGTGCCATATGCTGACAAAGCACCGTGCTCTGCCTTCACAGTGATTTACGACCTCCTCGGTTTCTACAATAACCCTGAGGAAACTCTTGCCTCGTCACGTGTTGGACTACAGAGTGGGACACCTAAATGCAGCAATTCAATAGTCATGCATCCTAGAAGGTCTAAAAGCATTTCAAGTAAAAAAACACAAATCCTTATAGAAACCGAGCAGGAAAATTGGCCCACACTGTCTTTTTTATTATTCTTGCTCTCTTTCTAACCCTATAAGATATGAGCTTGAGCTGCATCTCTTTTGAATTTTGGACAGTCTTAAAAAACAAAATGACATTTAAAAAAATGGCCTAGAATTCCTTATGCAGAGAAAAAAAAAAGTTACAACTGTTCGGTCAAATATTGAAAATAATATTGTGTGCAATCTCAAGCAATATTATTAACACTCAGATTGTTTGATGGGGGTGATGCTCAGCTACTATCAGACTAAGTTTTAATTCAAGTTTTGTCAAGTTTACTGAGTTATAGCCATTTTTGTGTTTGGTAAATTAAACTGGCTGTCACAGTTAGTGTTTTTTTATTATAATTTCTGTATAATTGATGTTTGCCAGCGTTTTCAACCCTGTTAACTTGGCTGTTTTAGTTTCCCTCAGCTACTCTGCCTCACCTTTTCTTACTCACCTGTCGGTTTGCTTAAAGATGCTGTTTTCATTCAGGTCCTGTCGC